TATTTTCTGTTGGTGTTTTGTCTTCCCATTGAACTTGACCTGGTGCAATAAATTCTAAATCACTGGCATCATCAGAACTAGATATATTGTCATCATCAAAATACGGTTTTGTTACTTCATTCGTTTGCATATGTCCTATAAAAATAGAATACAGAGAATGATAAATACACCCAACATCAAACAATGCAATTTTATTATGGTGTAGATAACATTTTTCCGAAGCAGTAATACTTACCATTTGCTGGCCTTCTAAATATTTCAATTTCTTTCTCATCATCATCAAAAAAGCTTGTTCCGTCTTTAAGTAAACTGAATGCGTATCCGCTTCGATTATTTTTATGTGACTGTTCAGAAGATGTACAGTTTGCATACAAGAACACAGCACAAGTAATAATTCCAAAGCATATAGTACCTAAGGGAAAGCAATTTTGAATAATTATTCTTCAAGAAAATTAAATCTACTTTATATATATATATATTAATATTTAATATCTTACTTATAAGTATAATGAAGACAATTCTGGGCATTCCTAGGAACTTGTCGTTATACCTTAATTTAAATATTAAATTTGAAATACTATGTATATCTGTTGTAACGAAAACTTTAGTCTGTGGAATGTAACCATTTGCTTTGGCGGTTATAACATGAGTTCCAGGTTGAAGTAGAAGCCAGTAGGCTCCATTTATTCCACTTTTAACATGGTGTACAGAATTATTGCATGATAAAATAGCATTCTCCACTGGTTCGTTATTCTTTGTAAGAACAAATCCCTTCACTCCGTTGTTCAGCTTATCTACCATAGCCAAGAAACTATCTTTATTATCTTCAAATACGTTTCTTGAATCATCTGTAGCACAACATGTAATGTATGCATCTATCATCAAAGTACTAGTATTTAAGTAAATATAATCCACTAAGGAATGTTCTCTCTTCCCACCAATTCCATTTCCAGCATGAATAACGCCATTAATATTTGTATTTAACCCATGATCACAGATTGAATTGTTTGAATTCATATGAACATTGTGTTTTATGTAGCTAGTTACTAAATCTTGTAGTACAGCATCATCATCAGTTTCATACACGTGTTCCGGTGTTTTACCATATTTTCTCGCAAAGGGAATTTCGATATGTTGGGCACCAATATTTAAATTGATTGCTAGCATTGGATTAACTTTCTTGAACCAATTAATTACTATACTTGCTTCGCTAGAAAGCTTTGTTTTAATAGGAAATTGTAGATTATCAACGACAAGGGAAGAGCACGATAGGTTCTTATTAGGACTTTGAGTGAAATCTGGGACAATATATATTGTGTACTTATCTAAGTAATTTGTAACAGTAGTATTTTTTCTATAATGGTCCAAGAGATATGTAGCGAAATGTAGCAAGACTTTGGACGTCACCTGTATGCCATTAGTAACACCAGCTACAAATGCAATTGACGGACGGCCTATTCGTTTGTAATTATTTTCAGCACCAATCTCTAAATACATTATGCGAATACCCTTTTCCGATCTTCCCATAGTGTGCAAAATAGACAATTGTGAATACTTATCATTTAGCTCAGTTAAAGCTTTGTTCAAAGCATTTGGCTCAGAATCTTCATTATCTTCTTCATATTTCTCCAAGTCTGTATTACTTTTTATCAGCTTAACAGTAAGATCAATTATATTTTCGTTCTCCACATGAACGTTTACAGATTGCTCCACGTATCCTTCACAGGTGAATACGAACGTATATTCACCAGGAAGTAGAATAGTCTTAAAGTAAGCCATATTCTTCGAAACTTCATATTGCATCATTCCGTTTTTAACTACAGCTTCTCTCAAAGGAACATTATTAACATCCGTTACCATTGCCCGAACACCAGTTGATAAGCTATGAACAAGTTGCATCAGAGGCAGTAAATTTTCTCGCCAAATAATTGGAATAGATGCGGCGGGTGGATACTTGCAACAATCCATGTTGATACTCATCTGAAAATATTTTAGATTAGAGTAAAATTATACAAAGGCAAATTACAATCGTAAGGACTGACATCATTCACATCTATTACTTACTACAGGAATATTATATTCATTCTGAATATAATCTTGCACTTCTTTAACTTCGCTATTAAGAATATTACACGTCCTTTTGTGCATTGAATGTTCATAATTTTCGGCGAGCGTTTTATACACATGCAATTTATTGTCTGTATAACTACAATAATGGTATGAAAGTGTAAGCTGTTTTGTTAATTCATCTAGTGAATCGGGGGTTTCAGTGTTTTCTTACCTAACTTTACGCGCTCCACTTCCTAATATAATGATCACATCATATTCTTCATTAGTTATCATTTTCTTAAATGCGCTGCTAACTGAATTTATCTGATCAGAAGTTGTGGTGCGTTTGTGCAAGATTTCCTCGCCAACTTCGCCTTTCACTATGGGATTGCATTCTTGATTATCAACTATATTATCAAAACCTGGATCTACACCGGGGATAATATGTAGAACAGAATTATTTAATATCCGCTGTATAGGAGGATCTCCAATTTGATTTCCCATAAGAATATGCGTAGCTAAACGTAGTAGAATTTCTCTACCCACTGGTTGGGAAGCAAATAGGCCCCCAATTAAACCGATGTGAAATTTGTTTTCTTCCGGTGCTCCCATCTACAAACGTATTGAAAATGAAATATTCGATGTAGTCGTAATACATCTCATTTTCATAAAGAGATACTTACATCGTGGGTAATTTTTAACGAATGAATAGCCATGTTAATTAATGAGCTTCCAGCTTCAAATTCGGCAGTGTTTGGTTGATGACTTTCTAATTCACTGAACCGGGCATTTAATTCTGCATTTTTTAAGTATACATTCTGTAAATTTGCTATTAAACCGAAATCATATGCAGATGACCTGAAACAGGAGTTTATAATTGTTACTTAAACTTATTATATTTTATGAATGCTGATACGTGACAACATGTATACATATCAAATAAAAAATGTTTAAAATTCGAAATTTCATATTTAATGTTTAAAAACATGAATTTCTAGTAAACAACACGATATCGTTCTCAATACTTGAAAATAGAACTTAAAATCCAATCAACAGGAAACAATTTACTAATTGCACGAAAATGTTATATTATATTTGTTAATGTTCTGATCTAGTACTTTAAATCCAGCACATGTTTCATGAGATATTGAAGTATTTACTTAATGTTACTTGGAGCTTAAATTTCTTCATAAAACGAAATTCTTATTATTCCTTATTAAATATGATCTGCAAATTTCTTATGATCTTATTCTGAAAATTTTAACGTTTGTAAATGTTAAGATATTCCCTCATTTCATGATTATGAGAAAAGGCTGCATATAATTATACCAATGCTGAGGATCATCACGCATTAATGAGAAGTCCAATGTCGTTTCTCCTTCACCCATATTATCTCCCTCGGGTACAATTACGCTCTGCGTCTGTGGTTCATATCCTACTGCACTAACTGTAATATTGTATTTTCCTGGAACCAAAAGCCGCCAATAATCACCACCTTCGGCTGCGTGGATATCATGTTTAATTCCATCCACAGATATTTTGGCATGAGGTATAGGGGTGCCGATTGATGAACGTACTATGCCGTGTACACCTTTTCGAGACTGTAAATCGTAGTAATCATAATTATTCTAATATAATATAAACGCGGATAATAGTAGTATTGGACTGTATTATTGTGAACCATGTACCATTTCAATAAGACGTAATAGAGGTTCCCTATTTTGCAACCAAAATGTTGGCAATTCAGTACTATTTGGGAACTTTGTGCACCCAACTTCTAACGTAATCTCAAAATCATTGCTGTGAAGGTAATTGTAGTCCTGCATTCCTCCACTCACGGAGTACCAGGCAGCTCCATTAGTTATTCCATCTGGGAATTGTTCCTCGAGCAAACTTGGCATATTAAGTTGTTCATTTGGAAGCGGTGGACAAGGTTCACCAAGGTGCATACGGGGATGAGCGTTTGAGTATGCTAGTGCTAATGCTTTGAAGACAGCATCATCTGGACTCACATTTGGAACATTAGGTGCATACTGTGGCGTATTATCGTATGGATAATTTGCTACCAATGTTCCCCCATGAAAATTAGCAGAAAGTACGAATGGAATTTCTGCGATCCAATTCATTACCGCTTTTGTTTCAGGTTCTTGTTTACCATTTAACTGTAACATAAATTGTGCAAAAGTAAAGATTCTGACAAATAACAATAATAGCAAATGTTTTACTAATAGATTATTATTCGTACTTCATTTATTCCATACTGATCAGGAAAGTTTCTGTTAAGGTCAACACCCCTAGCATTTGATCTTCCATGCCCTCCAGACACGTCTCCTTCTTGAGAAATTTCATATCCATCTGGATTCATACTTGGCATTACATGTAATCTGACATTTTTTAGTATTTTTGTAACTCTTTCATTACTTTCATAATTTTCGCAGAGGTATCTTAATAACAACAATAAAATTTCTCTGCCAACAACTTCGTTTCCATGCATATTTCCTATATATTTCACTTCTGGTTTATTTGGACTATGTTTTCCAGGATTTTCTGTTATTTCCATCACATATAATTTACGTCCCTTGACTGATTTTCCTATACTATAGAGTCTTGTAATATTGGGGTAATTTCCGTTTAAATCCTTCAAATATTTTTCCATTTTTACATAATTGTGATGCTTAAATTTGGTATCGTGTAAGAATCCATATTCATCTATAGGTCTTACTATTTTTTCAACTTTAGATGAACTTAATTTGCCTATTCGGAAACAAATACATTATTATAAAAAAAAGAATTTATGAATATCAATAATAAGACTAAATTAAACTTGTATTTAATGGTTTTTTTCATGTAAAACAATAGAAAAGTCAAATAAATTAGAGTAGATAAATGAACAGAGAGATTGATCAAAAATGCATTTTAACACAAGGTACAGAGAAAATAAAACCTTAACAAAGGTGAAAGCCTGTCTCTTATACACATCTAGATGTGTATAAGAGACAGCCTACATCTTGTTTCAAATAAAAATTGTAACAAATGTAAATACTAAAGAAAGAGACTCTTCTCAATTATTTGTAACCCTAATATTTTGTAATTAATTATTTTTGTACACATTATTTCTCCATACCTTGTGTGTATATTTTGTATGCTTGTAAAATATAGACTATAATAAAATGCCTGTCTCTTATACACATCTAGATGTGTATAAGAGACAGCCTACATCTTGTTTCAAATAAAAATTGTAACAAATGTAAATACTAAAGAAAGAGACTCTTCTCAATTATTTGTAACCCTAATATTTTGTAATTAATTATTTTTGTACACATTATTTCTCCATACCTTGTGTGTATATTTTGTATGCTTGTAAAATATAGACTATAATAAAATGCCTGTCTCTTATACACATCTAGATGTGTATAAGAGACAGCCTACATCTTGTTTCAAATAAAAATTGTAACAAATGTAAATACTAAAGAAAGAGACTCTTCTCAATTATTTGTAACCCTAATATTTTGTAATTAATTATTTTTGTACACATTATTTCTCCATACCTTGTGTGTATATTTTGTATGCTTGTAAAATATAGACTATAATAAAATGCCTGTCTCTTATACACATCTAGATGTGTATAAGAGACAGCCTACATCTTGTTTCAAATAAAAATTGTAACAAATGTAAATACTAAAGAAAGAGACTCTTCTCAATTATTTGTAACCCTAATATTTTGTAATTAATTATTTTTGTACACATTATTTCTCCATACCTTGTGTGTATATTTTGTATGCTTGTAAAATATAGACTATAATAAAATGCCTGTCTCTTATACACATCTAGATGTGTATAAGAGACAGCCTACATCTTGTTTCAAATAAAAATTGTAACAAATGTAAATACTAAAGAAAGAGACTCTTCTCAATTATTTGTAACCCTAATATTTTGTAATTAATTATTTTTGTACACATTATTTCTCCATACCTTGTGTGTATATTTTGTATGCTTGTAAAATATAGACTATAATAAAATGCCTGTCTCTTATACACATCTAGATGTGTATAAGAGACAGCCTACATCTTGTTTCAAATAAAAATTGTAACAAATGTAAATACTAAAGAAAGAGACTCTTCTCAATTATTTGTAACCCTAATATTTTGTAATTAATTATTTTTGTACACATTATTTCTCCATACCTTGTGTGTATATTTTGTATGCTTGTAAAATATAGACTATAATAAAATGCCTGTCTCTTATACACATCTAGATGTGTATAAGAGACAGCCTACATCTTGTTTCAAATAAAAATTGTAACAAATGTAAATACTAAAGAAAGAGACTCTTCTCAATTATTTGTAACCCTAATATTTTGTAATTAATTATTTTTGTACACATTATTTCTCCATACCTTGTGTGTATATTTTGTATGCTTGTAAAATATAGACTATAATAAAATGCCTGTCTCTTATACACATCTAGATGTGTATAAGAGACAGCCTACATCTTGTTTCAAATAAAAATTGTAACAAATGTAAATACTAAAGAAAGAGACTCTTCTCAATTATTTGTAACCCTAATATTTTGTAATTAATTATTTTTGTACACATTATTTCTCCATACCTTGTGTGTATATTTTGTATGCTTGTAAAATATAGACTATAATAAAATGCCTGTCTCTTATACACATCTAGATGTGTATAAGAGACAGCCTACATCTTGTTTCAAATAAAAATTGTAACAAATGTAAATACTAAAGAAAGAGACTCTTCTCAATTATTTGTAACCCTAATATTTTGTAATTAATTATTTTTGTACACATTATTTCTCCATACCTTGTGTGTATATTTTGTATGCTTGTAAAATATAGACTATAATAAAATGCCTGTCTCTTATACACATCTAGATGTGTATAAGAGACAGCCTACATCTTGTTTCAAATAAAAATTGTAACAAATGTAAATACTAAAGAAAGAGACTCTTCTCAATTATTTGTAACCCTAATATTTTGTAATTAATTATTTTTGTACACATTATTTCTCCATACCTTGTGTGTATATTTTGTATGCTTGTAAAATATAGACTATAATAAAATGCCTGTCTCTTATACACATCTAGATGTGTATAAGAGACAGTTTCAGAGGGTATCAAATGATGTTGAGTGGCTATTTTATCGTATTGGTGCTGTAAAATAAAGAAATAAAAACACATAATGAACGAACATAATGAACCAAGAAGAATGATGATGGATAAAAAATGAATGGTAAGAAAGTAATACATCAAAGTAACCATTTCTATTTGTAAGAAATGGATAAGAGAATCAAGTTACATGAGAAAATAATTTAAAAAAGTTTATGTAACACAAAGAACTTATATCGTAAGCTGCATAAAAATTAATTAGTAGTCGATGTCTTCATAAGAGCGTATTAGTTTATACAGTGGAGAATATTGATTTAAAAGTGGTAACATACGAGGATAATCTATGTCTTGATTACCTTGATCATCAAAGGAATCCTGTTTCAAAGTAAAATTGACAATAGTTGGTTCACCTGAGTTTACTGTAACTCTTACTGTTTTACTTGGTTGATATCTACAATAGAGAAAAAGAGGAATGTAACATTGCGAAATATTTTATTCTATTAGGCAGCGGCGTAATGATATGTTAATTTTATGTTTGTTATTCAAAGTTACTTACCCCCATGACTCTGCATGAATTAAGTAAGTCCCGGGCAGTAATAGACGCCAGTATTCTCCACGATTTGTTGTCGAAATATTATGGTCAATTCCTTCTACAATGATATTAGCTGCTTCTAACAGTTGACCATCAGTATCTCGTACAAGCCCTAAAACGAATAGCTAAGGTATATTTCATAACTGGTAATTGACCACATTTCATTAGTATTTTCGAACCTTTTACTCCGATATGTGCTTGTTCAAAATACTTTATAAGAGACTCCTTATTTAACATCCAATATTCTGGCATCGTTGAAGCATGTGGATATTTACAACAACTAAGTTCAAATGTGATCTCAAATGCATTAGAACCAGCATAATTGAAATCTTGCATACCACCGATCACTTCGTACCTAAAGCATATGAAATTTAGTTAATTTCTTGAATAAATAATAGTTCTCTTATAAATAGTAATAAACAATATATACCAATAAGCTCCATTGGTAACACCACCTGCAAAATTGTCTGGACGACAAGCATTGCCTGTATGCATTTGTGGGTGATTATCTGCATACACATGGGCTAAATATTTGAACAGTTCGTCATCTGGACTTTTACTTTCGATACAACAGGTTCTTGAAATTCTGAGAACAAGTATTTTGATTAAATAACTGCTGCAATGCAATACTGAAATCGACCTGGAATGGCATTCGATATATAAGACTAAATACGATTTTATATTGTTACCCAGAATCATATGGATAACTGGCTACGACAGCCCCTCCATGAAGATTTCCGGACAACACAAAAGGTTCCTTAGCTATCCATGTCATCACAGCTATTGTTTCATTCTGACGTCCATCCAGTATGTTACCACCTTTTTGTAGTTGACTGGTTCTCCTATCGAACTGGTCTGGAAAGTCTCGATTCAAATCGATATGATTTGCATTCTCGCGTCCTGAGAAATCTTTCTTCGAGTCACATTTCCCTTCCTAACGCAAGACGTAAATTTAATCCATACATGTTACCAAATACAATTAATTTAGATAAACTGTACATAGTAAGATTTAAATGTTACCTCTGATTTTTCAAAGCCATCAGGATTCATAGATGGCATAAGGAAGATATCGGTGTTGTTCACCAACTTCGTAATTCGCTCATCTTTTCCATAATTGTGCAGGAGATATTGAGCAAGATAAACCAACAATTCTCTGCCGACAGCTTCATCACCGTGCATATTGGCAACATATTTTACCATTGGCTCACCCAACTTTCGTTGGTTGACATTCTCGGAGATTTCGAGAACCAACAGATCTCTGCCTTCCACGGACTTCCCTATGGAGAACACTCTCGCCAAATTAGGATACTTCTCGGACAAGGTATTGAACAACTTCTTAAGTTCCTCGTAATGTGTGTAGTGAGGAGTAATGAAGTCTCCATCCGACTTCTCTTCAGGATTAATCGCATAACCATTTATAACCCCAATTAATGAGCAAATAAATAGCACAACATAATAGATAGCACCTGTCCGTAACATATTGGAATGAATATTGGCAGAACAATGGAATAGAACTGTTCAAATCTCAGCAAGACATCCTACACAGCCGATTATATACATACATACAACGTCGATATACATAGCATACTGATATACTGATGACGTCCGCAAGTCCGCCAGTACATATGAGCGTGGGTAGAGTAGAGTAGGTAGAGGGGGGTAGGTAGAGTAGGGTAGGGGATGTACAATTAACGAGATGCTGTACGCGTGTGTGTTATCTTCTTCATTCTGTACAACAAAAATTATTTAACGCTTACAAGTGATTCACGATGCAGTGCGTATAATTTGTATCTACAGTACGTGTACGTAATATTATCATTATGTACACGGTGCATTCATGTACTTTACGTGTACTTTACATGCCCTGATAACTTTCTCCACTTTTTCTAACGCCCACAGTTTGTCACAGATGATACTACATCCCTGATACATAAGCGATATTTGCAATTCTAATAATGTTCCGTATTTCCAAAACAGTTAAATAGAATTTTAAATACAAACTAGTATTATAAACGAATTACGAAATATTAGAAGTGTGTGGGATCAGAAAAATTCTCGAGTCCCGATGGTCGGTACGATACGGGAAAATATTGAGCGGAACGAGATCCCGAGGTATTCGGGATTCCCAGTTCCTAAGGATTCCCGAACATTTTGTGATTTCCAAAAAAAATCCGGGATTCCCGAACATATTCAGCGCCTCTTGTGTAGAGAACTGAAACTACATTCGGAGCCCGTACAACGTCAATTAGCATCGCGGCAGAATGCTGAAACTGCTACCCAAATTACCAGCGTTCGATTTTGGTTAACAGTTTCAGCGTTTTGCCACCGACTAGTTGGCGCTGTACAGACGCCGAACGGAGTTTCGAGACTTCGCCGCAAGGGGCGCCACCTGACGGAAACGCTGCTATTTTGTAATTTCCATATTCGCAAATGTCACCAAAAACTGTTTCGCATGGCAAATACAGATTGCAAGACGGAAAACGTTGCGCTTGACTTCGACGAATCGCGATCGACGATTAATAAATTCATTATTTCCTGCTGTTTAATGTCACTGACAATTTCTTTTGTTAGACAACCTTTTGAACAGTCTCCAGTTTATCATTCTACAAATGTTTTAGTAAAAATAACGAATGAAACTTCAGATGCGGAGTAACGTTCGAATAATTAATCTATCGAAGACTTATTGTCTTTATAGCCATAGTTCGATATATTTTCTTGGACAAGGAAAGGAGTGAATAAATGTATGTACCTATAGAAGACGAATTTTTATATTATTCATCCGCCTTTGTTCATTTATTTTTCTCGACGAAGTTCAGACCGCTGGGAGACACATGAACTGGAACAAATTTTTCACCGGTGCCAGACACCACGGGGACGGCAAAAGCGAGGATGAACCGGAAACGGAAGACGATGACGCAACCGACAGCAATGCCACTGCTTCCACCGAGAAAGTTTCACATTTCCTCGGAATACGTTTCCACCATTTTCCTCACGACCGTTTCTACCAAGTCTGCATTAGAAACGTTTTCTTATCGATCAATGCAATGACCTTCGTGAGTGATCATTAAATAAACAACTTACAAGGATCCCTAAAGAATGGCGCTATCGACTATATTTTTATCTCATTGATCCGCAATAACTTTGACACGGGGGAAATAAAAACTTTCAGCTTTCCGAGAAGAAACATCTAATTACAGAGAATGAATTAACCTTTTAGGTACGGCTGAATTCTGCGCGAGGCTATTTCTCTGGACGGCAGAGTCTGATATGTACTGTACAGAGTCTGATACTGTATATTCTGTCTGTATATACAGGGTGTCCCAAAAATGTCTCGCAATCCGAAAGTGGCGGGTTCCTCAGGCCATTCGAAGCAACTTTTTCCTTTACAAAAATTTTCTCCGAGGCACCGTTAACGAGTTATTAACGAAAAACAGTGCCCAATGAGAGGCGAGCTCGGCTGGCGCGAGGCGATCGAGCCAATGAGCGGAACTAGGCTTCGCGCGCTGGTTGGCTGGGCCGCCTCGCGTCGGCCGTACTCGATTCTTATTGGTCACTGTTTTTCGTTAATAACTCGTTAACAGTGCCTCGGAGAACATTTTTGTAAAGGAAGAAGCTGCTTCAAATGATCCGAGGAACCCGTCATTTCCGGATTGCGAGACATTTCTGGGACACCCTGTAGACTGTTGTAAATCGATGTGAAGACAAAAGAAGTGTGAAACAATGCATATGAAGACGATTATTTGGTCCAAACGATGA